AAAGTTGCCAAGTTTGAAGACCTCTGATCTAAGTGGAGAGTTTGCAGAGGAAGGAAGGGATCACAAGAGGAGAAAGTTATGCTGGCTGGAGAATTCTGGGAGTTGAAGTCCACAAGTCTTAAAGTTGCCAAGTTTGAAGACCTCTGATCTAAGTGGAGAGATTGCAGAGGAAGGGATTACAAGAGAATAAATTATGATGGCTGGAGAATTCTGGGAGTTGAAATCTACAAGTCTTAAAGTTGCCAAGTTTGAAGACCTCTGATGTAGACAGTAATTGAATTATTTTTCATAATAATTTGCTGCTTAGAATGATAACTTCTGGCCCAACCACTGTCCCTCACACGGGTGGCTTAAGCCTTTCGTCCTGACTTCAGAGCTCAAACTAGCTTAATCCACAGGAAATGGACTCTTAAACGGAAGAGGCAAACTAGAGCCACATGCTACAAAACGCAATTTGGATTGTTAAGAAGGAATCAGCCTTTGCTTTCTCCTGATTTACAAGCAGGGAGCAATTCCAGCCTCCCTTTTTTCCCTCCTTACTCAACCCCATCCTGGGTCAACAGATCTTAGCAATCAAACCACACAACAGAACATAAATCAACAACTGAGCACAAAAGCAAATACAGCTACCGAATCGTAATATCCGGAAGAGCAACGAGAGCCAGGGTGGCAAGTCAAAGCTCAAGATTTGGACCTTGGGTCCAGAGAGACTCAAGCGGGGGGAAGGGGGCTTCAGTACCAGAGCAAGCATAAACTGCGAGATGTACCTGCCAGAGGCTGAGGGAGGGTCTGGCTGTTCAGCGTTCACCATGCCTTTCCTAGCCAGGTTGTGCCCGAGCAATGCCTGGTGTTAAAACAGCTGCCAGTTGCAGCAGCCTGTGCCCTCCTTCTCTGACGATTTCCTGACCTGGGCAACTCTTCCTGCTTTGCCTCGTGAACTTTGCCAGCGTCAGAGACTTCATTGCCTCTGAATCCAGAGCATGCCAAAGTTTCCCATTGTTTGCTGGATTTATCAGCTTATCTACGTAGTTAGGCAAAACAATGACCTTTTTAAAATCAATTTCGTTGTATACATGATATACAATGACAATAAAGGCCCGGGATGGCGAACCTATGGAACGTGTGCCAGAGGTGGCATGCAGAGCCCTCTCTGTGGGCATACACTGTCGCCAGCTGTTCTTACGGGTTCTGGTGCTCCGGCACGCATGTGCATGCTCCAGTTTTGGCACTCAGTGCTGAAAAGGTTAACCATCACTGTGCTATACCATAAAGCAGAGATCTTCAAACTTGGCAACTTTAAGACTTGTGGAGCTGGCTGGAGAATTCTGGGAGTTGAAATCAAGTCTTAAAGTTGCCAAGTTTGTGGACCCCTGCTATAAAAGATTATTTAGTCACATTCTCCATTGTTTATAGTTTATTCTCAGGCTTGGATGGCAGGCCAGTCAGTCAATCCAACCAATTGATCAATATTAAATCAATCTCCATTATATACATTCTCCAAGACATTAAGCTTCAGGTCGCGAAAACTTCTTTTCCACAAAGGACCAATGCAATTGGATTATATGATTATAGAAATATTATGCTATAATGAAAAATAGCAGTAACGTTTCTATGATCATACCATCTCGTTGCATTTGTCCATTTGGGGAGGAAAAGAGTACATGAGGAAACTCTCAGGAAAACATGAGCTTAGCCATTCTTCTGGAGGGGAATGCGACATAAAAATCCTTTTCTTCCAATCCTGAAACTGAAGTGACCCCCTGTGAGCAAGAACTTTCTCGGTGCAAAGTGAGGCTACATCCAATTTAAACCTAGTTAATATTCCAAAAAACCCGGAAGTGCCAGGTTCTGGATGTCCCAGTAATACAGGAACCAATCATGTGCACAAAACAAAACATAGGTTTGCTTTCAAATCCCCAAATAAAAACTGCATCCTGGAACTTCTGCCAAATAATTTCAGACAGACTAAGGTCTGGCAGAAGAAAATGTCAGAAGATTTGGATTTGGGCTGGAATGAAATTTTGGGAGGAATCTGAGAGTGATTTTAAGGGTTGAGTAGCTTTAGGTTGCATAGGACTGTTGTTTTGCTGTTGACTGTGTAGTATAGTATTTCTCAGCCTTAGCAACTAGAAGAGAACAGTAGTACTTAAGACTTATCTACCATGCCATAAAACTTTATAGCAGTCTCTGAACGGTTTACAAGGGACGTCAAACTCAAGACCCTGGAGCCGGATAAGGTCCACAGGGGGCTTAGATCTGGCCAGTGGGGCCACCCTGTAAATAGCAAAGCACCAGCCCATGTGTCTCTGCCAGAAAAAATGGAGTTCACAGTCCAATTTTCACTGGCAGAGGGTTATTTTCGCTGGCAGAGGGTTGAAGGAGGCTGTTGCAGCCGAAAACAGTGCTTGGGAGCCCATTTTCACTGGCAGAACGCTCAAGACACCACTGGTGCCCCCAACATGAGTAACATTGAGCTGGCCATGCCCACTCTGGCCATGCCCACCCCAGCCCCCAGAGGTTAAACACAACCCTGATGCGTCCCTCAATGAAATCGAGTTTGACATCCCTGGTTTACAATGTCACCCATTATCCACAACAATCTGGCTCCTCATTTTACTGACCTCGGAAGGATGGGTCAAGCCTGAAGAGGTCAGGATCAAACGCCAGGCTATGGGCAGAGTCAGCATGCAATGCTGCATTCTAACCACTGCGCTATCACGCCCCTTAACCATGTTGGCTGGGGAATTCTGGGAGTTGAAATCCACCCATCTTGCCAAGGCTGAAAAACACCACGAGAGTGTAGACATGCTTGCAAACACAATACCTGCCTAGCATGATTTCCATCAATTCCCAGACACTGCTGGGCATCTTTTTTTGCTTACCTTTGAGCCAACCAGCTGGATACAAGAGGCAGCACCTAAAGCTTGGGGTTTTTTGCACATGTGGGCTCTCCAGTAGTAATCAGAGGAGGACAAACAAGTTGAACCAGCAATGAAAAACGATGGCTGAGCTGTCAAGCTACCATAAACATTTAGGAGGATACAGAGGATGACTAATCGAAGGGCACTTTTTTCTGTGGTCCATCAAGGGTTTGTCATTTCTTTTATTAAATGTGCTCATGTCACTGTTTGCTTCTCATGGGCCAGAGAAAAGGTAAACTTCATAGGTGCCTTGGGCCAAGGCCAAGCTTGCCAAGATGAAAATAATGTTTTTGTCTTGTTCACCAATGGGCTCAAGGAAGTTAGTCTTTTGCATGTGTATCACTAGCCAGGCAAGGTGATCAGGTTTTGCTAATCCTGAAATATGAAGAAAAGAGGAAGTTCCTGCTTTGCTACAGCTATGCAGGAAGGAAGAAATATCTCAATCAAGGTGGATGATGACAGCTTAAGCTAACTCTTGAAGCAGCTGGGAGCTATTTGCATAAAATCACAGACTTAGAAGGGATCTCAAAGATCACTGAGTCTACACCTTCCTTTGTATGTTTTGGACAGGCAGCTCTGTTTGAAGACTGCCCGCAACGGAGGGGGACCACATAACAGATTAACAGAGTTGGAAGGGACCTTGTAGGTCATCTAGTCCAAACCCCCATCCAAGCAGGAGACCCTACACCCTTTCTGACAGATGACAGTCCAGTCTCTTCTTGAAAGCCTCCAGGGATGAAGCTCCCACAATTTCCGAGGGCAACTTCTGTTCCATGGGTCGATCGTTCTCACTGTCAGGAAATTTCTCCTTATATCCTGAATCTCTCCTTGGTCAGTTTCCATCCATTATTCCTTGTCTGGCCCTTAGGTGCCTTGGAAAATAGCTTGACCTCCTCTCTGTGGGCATGGGGCAGCCTATCACTACACCCATTGAAAGTGGTCCCTGTCAGGAAATCCTTTCCATTGTTTCAATGAACTAGTCCTTTCCCTGCGATTTCAGTCTCGGGGTGGCATGTGGGGCAGCAAAGGGCTTGCTGTTTATTGGAACTGGAGTTAAACTGGTGAAGGACATTTGCACCCTGTTGATATGACTGTTCCCTCTTCATTGCTTTGGCAGAGAGCAAAGCCCTGAAGACACCCGACGAAATTCAGCCCTGAGTTCCATAAGTGTCTCAGAAGGTCGGGGCAGCTACCCCCACCCCCTATCTCTACCTGCCATCTTCACAGGAAATCTGTCCAAGGCAGTTGGTGGGTATCTGGGCAGCTGGAGCAGCAGGTGGATCAACTCAAATAATTATAAGACAGGAGGGGGGGGAAGAACCTTGGAGGTCTTCTAGTCCAACCCCCTGTTCCAGGCAGAAATCCTTACAGTATCCTGGACCAATCTTTCCTTGGAAACCTGAAGTGATGGAGCACCCACAACTATGGGAGACAAATTGTTCCTCTGGTGAATCATTCTCACTGCCAGGAAATTCCTCCTCCTTTCCAAGTTGAATCCTCCTCTGAGGAGTTTCCACCCCTTGCCTCTTGTCCTACCTTCAGATGCTGTGGAGAATAAATCGACCTCCTCTTCCCTGTGACAGCCCTTCAAGTATTGGAAGATGCCAACCCTCTGGTTAAAGGGAGGCTCTCAAGTGCCTGGGAGAGCTGCGTTGGTGCCCAGGAAAGGCAGTGCTTCAACAGATTAACAGAGTTGGAAGGGACCTTGTAGATCATCTAGAGTCCAACTTGCCCCCCCCCCCCCAAGCAAGAGACTCTACACTATTTCTGACAAATGGCAGGCTAACCTCTTCTTGATATCCTCAAGTGATGATGCTACGACTTCTGAAGGCAACTTCTGTTCCATTGGTTGATTGCTCTCACTGTCAAAAAATTCCTCCTTATTTCCAGGTAGAATCTCTCTTTGTTCAGTTTCCATCCATTATTCCTTGTCCGGCTGTCAGGTGCTTTGGAAAATAGCTTGACCCCCTCCTCTCTGTGGCAGCCCCTCAAATATTGGAAGATGCTATCATGTCTCCCCTTGTCCTTCTCTCCACTAAACTACCTGTGCCCAGTTCCTGCAACCGTTCAGCCTTACATTTCAGCCTCCAGTCTGTCTGTTCTTCTCTGCCCTCTTTCTAGAGTCTCAACATCTTTTTTATAGTCTGGTGACCAAAACTGGATGCTGTACTCTAGGTTTGGCCTTACTGCAACACCAAGTTCCTGCATCCTTTCAGGTCCTGCTTCCAGGTCTCCGGACCCCCTCTTCAAGCGG